AAGAAGAAGAAGAAGAAGAAGAAGAAGAAGAAGAAGAAGAAGAAGAAAGGTTGGCATGGGGAGGAAGAAGAGGAGGAGCAAGGAGAAAAAGAAGGAGCAGAAAGGTTTCTGGCAGGAGGAAGGAGGAAGAGAATGAGGAAGAAGAAGAAGAAGAAGGGGGAGGGGAAGAGAAGGAGAGGAAGAACTTTATTTTTCCCTTTGAATGTCCATGGAGATTCTTAGTCCTCCAGGTTGTCCCAAAGCTGCTTTTTTTCCAAGAGGCAACTGGACCTTCTTTCTTTTTTTGTTCTGAAGATGTTTTGCTTCTCATCCAAGAAGCTTCTTCAGCTCTGACTGGAGAGTGGGGAATGGAAGGATTTATATTTCTTGCAGACGACTGGACATTCGCATTCTGCAATATAAAATCCTTCCCTTCCCCTCCTTCCAGACAGAGCTGAAGAAGCTTCTCGGATGAGAAGTGAAACATCTTCAAAAGAAAAAAAGAAAGAAAGTCCAGTTGCCTCTTGAAAAAAAAAAGCACCCTTGTCCCTTTGAATGTATGCTAATTGGCATGCATTAAAATGAAATTTCTTTGCATACAGCTCACCTCCTCCAATATACAGTACATAAACATGATAGAATAAATAAATAAATACAAAATTATGCCATTCTGTGCTATACAGGTAGTCTCCCACCGTTTGTTTAGTGACCCCCAGAATTACAATGGTGCTGAAAAAAAGTTGGCTTGTTTCACAGTTACGACCTCTGAAGCATCCTCATGTCCATGCAATCAAAATTCGGATGCTTGGCAACCAATTCACATTTATGACCATATTGCTGTGTCCCAAGATCACGCGATCCCCTTTCGCAACCTTCTGAGAAGCAACGTCCATGGGGAAGCCGGATTCACTTAACAACCATGTCGCTAACTTAACAGCTGCAATGCTCCACTTAACAACTGTGGCAAGAAAAGTCTTAAAATGAGGCCAAATTCACTTAATAAATGTCTCACTTAACAATAGAAATCAGGGCTCAGTTGTGCCTGTAAGTCTAGGACTACCTGTATTACCTCCTGTCTAGTTCCTTCTTATTACTACCTATTAAGTACTACTAGTTCTTACTACTAGTAGTACTTACTACTAGTAGTAAGTACTAGTTTTTACTAGTTTTAGAAGCAAAGCATACTGTTTGTGCAAAGTTTTATTCATCCCATTGGCATATCATGAATATAATTAATTAGGTTAGATGTTCAAACAATGAGTAAAGTATTATGCCTAAAGCTTCAGTACAGTACGCCTTTCCTGGTGGAATCAATAAGCTTTTCCTTAACTGTGCCTTAAAGACACCTTTCTAACCACATCCCTGTCCCCATCTGGCTACCCTGCCCAGTTTACAAAACAGATACCCAAAGCAGAGGAAAACCAATGTAGTTATACCTTTATGCATATTGCATGCACACGGGGTTTTAAATAACAATCATGATTACTTGGTGCAAAAGGGAAAAGTGGATGTTGGACTCACAAATATGAGTGAAGAAACTGTGCGAAGGAATAATGTAATAACAGACGATGAACTTATTGAAAAGTCTTCATAAATTTTATTCAAATGTGTATATAAAAGACAGGAAATCGATATGTTAAAAATAATGAATGCCTTTCAAGACAACAGTTACCTAAACTATCACAACGGAACGCGGTTGGCTCAGTGGCTAAGATGCTGAGCTTGTCGATCAGAAAAGGTCAGCAGTTCAGTGGTTCGAATCCCTAGCGCCGCGTCACGGAGTGAGATCCCGTTACTTGTCCCAGCTTCTGCCAACCTAGCAGTTCGAAAGCATGTAAAAATGTGAGTAGAAAAATAGGGACCCCTTTGGTGGGAAGGGAACAGCGTTCCGTGCGCCTTCAAAGGCGTTGTGTCCTACCGGCCACATGACCACGGAGACGTCTTTGGTCAGCACTGGCTCTACTTTGGCTTTGCAAAGGAGAGGAGCACCGTCCCCTAGAACCGGAAATGACTAGCACGGATGCGCGAGGGGAACCTTTACCTTTACCTAAACTATCAAAAGTCCAGAGACAACTTATGAACGACCCAATAACTGCTTTTGAGGTATCAGAATCTATTTTAAAAATGAGGCCAGGCCCAGATAGTCTCACAAGCCAATACTACAAATGTTTCCAGGATGAACTTCTTCAAGCATTAAATGCAGAGTTATGAATCTGGTGGTCTTAACATATATATATCCTGGTTGTATAGTTTTTAACTGTTAATTGTTTCAATTTGTTTTACATTGTTATTTGTATATGTCTTTTGGTGTTGTTCAGTTGTATGTTGTGAAAGAGCACTTTATTTCGTTGTTCTCAGGTTCTGAGTACAATGACAATAAATTTATCTTATCTTAAACAATGAATGAAATATTACAGGGGGGGAATATACCCCAGATGTGGAAAGAAACAACTTGGAATAGCACTGTCAGCCTTGAAAATAGGAACTGTTTTGTCTTTCATTGTACAGGGTCTGCTCCAAGAAAAGAGATAGAATTTTCTATAAATGGTTTGCAAGGTCACTTTTTGTTTTCGTTTCCAGAGAATACAAGACAGGGGGGGAAAAATGAAAACAGGAGAATGAAGAGAAGCAGCTCTTCTCCCAGATGTAGAGATGCAACACTGGAGGCCATATATACATTTATTCATCCTTCCTTACATCTTCCAACATTCTTGGTATTATTTAAGTCTCATGATCACAGATGTCCTCTTAACAACTCTTTTCAATTCCCCACCGATAGTAAAATCTATTCCAAATTATATAATATTCCGATTCATGCTTATTTTTCATCTCTAGTATTAGTCTATCCATTTCAGCACAAATCAAAATTTTATTTATGACTTCATCTTCACTAGGAATTTCTTTCTCTTTCCACTTCTGGGCAAATACCATTCTTGCTGCAGTGATGACATGTATTATCAAATATAACTCTTCCTTCCTATATTTTTGGGTATAATTCCAATAAGAAACATTCTGGTTTATGGTCTATTTTAAATATAGGGTCAACCTATTTTCCAAAGCATCAGAAGGCAAGACAAGAATCAATGGATGGAAACTAATCAAGGAGAGAAGCAACCTGGAACTAAGGAGAAATTTTCTAACAGGGAGGACAATTAACCAGTGGAACTGCTTGCCTTCAGAAATTGGAGGTTTTAAAGAAGAGACTGGACCGCCATTTGTACAGAATAGGAAGATCTTCTGTTTGAGCGGGGGGTTGGACTAGAAGACCTCCACAGTTCCTTCCAACTCTGTTGTTCTGTTCTGAAAAGATTTGTATTTTTTAACTGAAGATTTGCAAGCAGGAGATGAAATGCTTCCTCAGTTAATTGCCCCAGTGTGATATTAACTCCGACGCTTGAACTTCCCTTGAACTGTTGCATCCGTTTTCCTTGGGAATCCTAAATCTCCTTTTCAGATCTTCCACAGGCAAAGGAAGCATTTTATCTCTGGGCTATTTCCATTCTGCGGAATCCTTGATGCTCTTGAAACTTGGCGGTTTTCTTGCAGGCGGTTCACTACCCAACTAAATAACCGTCATCAGTGCTATTGGGGTTGGGGTTTGCTGCCTGTGTATATATAGCAGTATGTCCTGTCAGTGTTGGTGGAATGTGGTATTCTGCTTGTTTCCAAGCAGAAAAACATTATAATGATTGAGTACAGTCAGCCAGATGTTTAGTTGGCTTTTGAATTGAATAGGCGGCATTTTGTCCACCTATTAAAATCTTCCCAAGTACCTGGGATAGGCAAATGTGGTTAGAGATATCGTTGTAGGATGTAAGCTATTTCAAGTAAATCTGCCTTTTGGCAATTGACTGATCATAATTTTGTCAATGCCAGTGTATTCAGAGGTGGCATTCAGCCGGTTCTGACCAGTTCTGGAGAACCGGTAACGGAAATTTTGAGTCGTTCGGAGAACCGGCCAATACCACCGCTGACTGGCCCCGCCAACCCCATCTCTTCTCCACCTCCCATTGAGTCCCAGCTGATTGGCTGGGTCTCCTTTGGTTGCCCTGCACAGGAGAACAGAGCTGGAAAGCAGGTTAGTGGGGTGGGGAGGGAATGGAGATTTTGCATTAACCTTCCCCCAGGAGTGGGGAGGGAATGG